AGCTTTTGCTAAAGTAGTCAGAGCCGAGTGTGATGGCGCACACCTGAGGGCCCTGCACTTGGGGGCCGGGGCAGGAGGACAGTGAGGCGAGGATAAGATGATTCTGCTGTCTGACAGCCAACACCATTCCTGCCAGACCAGTGCTCTGCACACAGGCAGATGCAGAATGGATTTCTCTGGGCCAAAACAACACAGAAGCACGGTGCAAAAGGTGCGGAGTCTTAATAAGAAATGCTCACATCACTGTGCGTTGAATCATAGGAGCATTTCAAAAATAACTGCCTCACATCGGAAACGAATGTGAATACATTTTCCAAGGAGAGCTGTGCTTTAAAAAGAACCTGTTCATCTTAATGTGGGACTTCAAACTACAGTTAATGGTCTTGAGAGCTGGTCAGGACTTGTGCTCTGCCTCCATGCATTTGCCCATAATCTATCCCTGTAATATACTTTGGGGGAGGGGGTCTCACTGTGTCGTTTGAGCTGGCCTGAAACTCAAGACAATCCTCCTGTCTCAGCCTCCCGAGTGCTAGGATTGTAAGTGTGTGCATGCCTAGCCACTGTTTTCATATGTTGAATTTTTATGTTGTGTTCCTTTTTTTTCTCCACTATTTTAAATTCTTAGCATTGTGTGTGTGTGTGTGTGTGTGTGTGTGTGTGTGATGCTAGGGATTGAAACAAGGGCTTTGCCCACGTGGGGCAAGTATTCCCTCAATGAACTGCACAACCCTAGGCTGAATTTGTTTACATTTTGCTAGACTCTGTATAATCCATATTTGCATCATTTTCAATACCAGAGACATAAATTGTATAAAGACTTTCATAGAATTCTTATTTAATTCAAATTTGATTCTGTGAAAGTGCATTATCATGCCAGAGATTTAGCTCAGTGGCGCCATGCCTGCCACACAAACACAAGGTCCCGAGTTTGATCTCCGGCACCAAAAAAAAAAAAAAAAAGTGAACTATCACAACATTGACTGTGTATAATTATTGTGCTTCTACATAAAAACACTGAAACTTCCTCAGTAAACAAAGAGGTGTCCTTATGGTAAGTTTGCATCTGTGAAAGACAAAATTTCTGCCAGATACAGTAGTGCATACTTGAGGTCCCAGCTACTCAAAAGGCTGAGGCAGGAGGATTTAAAGCTGAAGGCCAGCCTGGGCACCTTAGACTCTGTCTGAAAATTTGAAAGGAGGACTGAGATGCAGCTTAGTGCTCCCTGGGTTCGATCTCCAGCACCACTGAGCAGACTTCCTGGTCTCTTTAGGCAACTGCCTGTGTGGTGCTGACCCACTGCCCTCTCTGATCTGTCCTCAGGCTTAACTTTCCTTCCACATGGCTGCAGCCACAAAGCCGGGCATGTGATTACCAGCCACAGTGCTTCATTTATATCTATTTCCTTGCAAACATGATTTGTCTGCTCAGAAACCGTTACCCAAGTCCACCTGTCATCAATTCACCCGTGACCATGCTTGCAACACATGTATGTTGTTAATGCCTATTTTGTCTCACAAAGTGGCCTATGGATTATTGTCATTTTACATTTAGAAATCTTTAAAAATGTAAATAAACATCTTTTAAACAATTTTTAAAAAGCTTGGCTCAGTGATACACATCTGTAATCCCAGAACTTGGGAGGCTGAGGCAGGAGGAGCACCATGAGTTCAAGGCCAGCCTGAATGGCCTAGTAAAACTCTGTCTCAGAAAACAAACAAACAAAGAAAAACAATGGTACATCCATCCCATGGAAAACTATTCAGCAATGAAAAGAAACAAAGCTCGAAGCTTGGGTGAAGCCACAGAATGAACACCCTGATGAGGAAACTGAGGGCAAAGGTTGTACACTGACTGCAGCCAAAGAGCATCCGGGGCTGATGCAGGGCAGAGGGTGGGCAGAGGGCTGTGGGGATGGACATGGTTCAGAAAGGGCAGCCCAGGCCCAAGTGAGTACTGCTCTGAGCCCTGCCAGGGGCCCTGTCAGTCGGCTGTACTGCAGACCTCCCTGAAGGAACCAGGGACAGGCTGCAAGGGACATTGCTGGATCGCTTATTACAACTGCATGTGCATCTGCAATTATCTCAAGGTAAAAAGTACAGTAACCTGCCTTCACCAAATTCTCCATCCACTGGCCGACCTCTCTCTCTCATAGATTCAAGATGGCCAGAGGTCTTTCTCTAGGACCGCCACCGAGCTTCTGCTCCCTGAATCAAAGCAGTACTGAGCGCTCTGCTGGGCTCCAGAGCTCCACAGCTCTGCCGCTGCCCCAGCCTCTCTCTGCCCATGCTGCCTCCCTCCCCTCCTTCTGGGCTGGTTCTGCCCGCTCCTGATCTTTGCAGACTCGCCCTGGAGACCTCAGACCAGGCAGCAAGACCTGGTCTCCAGTCCACACTCCTCCCCACCTTCCCTGCCTTCTCAGGAAGATGCCCACACTGATGACTAGGGCACCCCAGACCCACAGCACATCTTCTGGGGCTGGATTGGTGCGGACTCCGGCCATAACCTGCCTGACCCCCAAGCAGGGGGACCCTTGGTCCCCCCAGCCCCGGTTGCAGTAGCAGGACACAGCTTCCACCAGGTCTGCTCATGCCTGGCTTGGGCTTGGGCCTAGGCCAGCCGGGCTTGGGGTGGGGCTGCTGGAGGTCCCGTCTGGAGCATGTCTGGACCCAGTCGGCACCACCTGATCAAGACTCACCCTGAAATGACCAGGTGGTCACCAGTTTTAGGGAAAAAAAATAGCTGTGACTGCAAAAAATAATAATAAACCAATCGTTCAGCTGGGCACAGTGGCACAGGCCTGCACTTCCAGCACTTGGGGAGGTGAGGGAAGAAGATTGGATTGTGAGTTTGAGCCCAGCCTGGGCAACTTAAGAGATGTGGTGAGAAACCATCTCAAGTTTAAAGCATTTTTAAGGTCTGGAGATGGAGCTCAGGGCAGAGGCTCTGGGCTCGACCCCTTAAGTCACCCACATGGCTGCTGCCCACCTCCCGCCAGTGCTTCAGCCTCTCCTTGCCTCGCAGCAGTAGCACCTGTGCCACCAGGCTCCACCCTCTCCACAGCTGGCTTCCACCCTGCCCGCCCCACTCACCAAGCCTGCAGGCCAGGCTGTCTGCATGGTGCCCAGGCTGTGGCGGAGGGGCTGGTCAGGAAGGCTGTGCCAGGCGAGGCGGCAAGAGCCAGTCCCAGCACCGAGGCCTGGGGACAGCAGAGACGAGATGCCCAGCCCCCCGCAGAGCACGGCCGGGCTCTCAGCCTGCTCACTGGCAAGCGCTCTCCAGGGCTGCTCAGGCCGAGCACACCCAGCCACAGAGGATTAGAGGAGGACCGAGGCGCGCTGTGACCCGTGCCTGAGCCAGGCCTGCACCCCCTGGCCCCGCTCCAGGCCCCGCATTGAGCTTCTTCCAGGCTGGGCAGTCTCACTCCTCCCACAGCCCAGAGACCTGGCCAGACATGGAGCAGAGCTCAGCCCTGTGCACTGAGGGGACTGAGGGGCCCAGGAAGCCGCCCTGGACGCTCCCAGCCCAGCAATGCCGCATGTGCGGCCCTGCAGGGGCTGCTGTCTCCTGCTTCAGGGAGGTGGCGCCTTCCAGCCCTGCCCTGCAGATGCCGCCAGGCCTTGAACTCCGTGAGGAAGGGGAGGCCAGCGAGCGCCTCCAGACCGCAGCGCAGAGTATGTGTGGATGCTGCTTCTTCTTCTTTGTAAAGTTAAAAGTGCTTTTTCTTCGAGCTCTGTAGTCACTGTGACGCAACGATGAAAGGAGAGAGGTAGCAGCAAGGGCACAGCGTCGGGGAACTGGCCTCCCAGCTGATGTGCTCTCGGCCGAAAAAGTTACAGCCCTGACAAACCAGGACCTGGATGGGCAGTGCTGGTCCAGGGCTGAGGTCCCAGGGCTGTGCCCCCGACAGGGCCCCGATGCCCCTTTCTGGCTCAGGCAGCCTGAGGGGACATGAAGGCCACAGGGCCCCTCCTTGGCCACCTGGACCCTCGCACCCTGCGGGCCCCGCTGAGCACACCGTGGCCTGGAGGCCCCTACAGAAGCGCCTCTCGGCAGGGCCACATGAGATACCAGCCAGGCAGCACCTCGGAATCAATGGTGGACCCGGAGTGGAGCCCCCGGGCACTGTGAGTGGCAGCAGGGCAGCCTAGAGAGCCCACCAGTGGCTTCCCCGGGCCCCAGAGACTCACCCGCAGCCGTGGCCTCCTGTGCCCAGCACAGGTAAGCGCATGGAACCCCTCCGCTGCTCCTCTCCCTGGCCCCCCCTCTTGCCGCCCCTCAGAGACCTTCCTCCCCGGAGGCGCACCCTCCCTAGCAGTGACCCCAAGCTCGCTTCTGTGCCATTTCCTCCTGTTCCCAGGGGCTCAAAGGCATCCAGACGCCCCAGAGTGCCACAGCCTGCGCCACCCCATACCTGCCATGGACCCCACCATCCAGCCAAGCTGCACCCAGGAGCCCTGGCCCAGGCTCAGCTGCTGTACTGTGCCCCCACCTTCCAGGCAGGGGCTTCCTGAGCCTGGGCTATTCCTGCCCGCAAAGATCTCTCCAAACACCCAGCCCGCCCTGAGCTTCCCGCTCAACGCTGCTCCCTGTGCCTGCCACTTCAGGAGAAACGGCCCAGGGTCCTCGTGGACACTGACTGGGTCTCGGGCCAGCAGGTTCTCTCTCCCAGTGCCCGGCTAATCAGAGCTGCCACGGTTTTCTCCCATAACCGAACAGTCAGAGCTGGCATCTGCTTTTTGTCCCTGAGGGACCACTGCCACAGCCCGTGCTCCTGTCAGCCTCACACCGGGTGCGAACACCTACTGTGTGCTTGTGACCTCAGCTTGCACAGCAAGCAGCTCTCGCGACACCCTTTGCAGCCTGCTCCTTGCTTCCATGTCCCACTGGCTTCCCCAGCTGGGTGATCTAAGGAGAGCAGCTGCCCACCCCACTAACAGCCTAACCTTCGCCATAGACTATGCACAGTTCTCTAAGTCGGGGCCCCTGAAGGCACACGCACCTGATAGTCACCTGGGGCGGTGGGGGTGGGCAGCGAGAGGTTGCCAGCCCCAGGGCTCCAATTCCCCACGGGCTGGGAGCCCCACACCACTTGAGCCTCTGGCCCTGGCCAGGATCTTAAACACAGACTGTCCACATGCAAGGACCCCTGTGCTTAACATCTATGTCCTCAGAAAACGGCTGGCTAGAGTCCATGTGCTCCACCGTGTGTGACCAGAGGTAAAGGCAGCAGCTTGGAAGGATTTCATGTTTTCACCCCCATGCATTCCATTCCAAAGAAACGCCTGACTGTCACACCCCTGCCGTTCACAGGCGCACTACCAAAGCCCTGAGGGAGCCCCGGTGAGGCAGGGTCTCAGGACAGAGGCTTCCGCTGCCGAGACACGGTGAAACAGCAGTCTCTGTGGGTTCACACCGGTCATACAGTCTCACAGGATATTTGCGGTGCACACCTGTCATCCCAGAGCTCTGGGAGGCTGTGACAGGAGGATCACAAGTTTCAGCCCAGCCTGGGCAACTTAACAACTTAGCAACTTAGTGAGACCTTGTTTCAAAGAATAAAAACAGCTGGGATGTAGCCCGCTGCAAAGACCCTGGGCTCAATCCCAAGCCACCACCTCCAGCCCCTCAAAAAGCCAACACAGACTTGTTTAAGATGCCTGCTCTCAGGAATAGGCTGGCTTATCCTCCCCCGACACACACACCCCAGCAAAGCACTTGATTTACCTGAAAACGTGCAGCTCTTCCTGACGACTTAAATTTAAGGTGAAAACCCAAACCAGTGACTCTGAATGGTGACTGAAGCTCGGTCCTCAGGGTATTACTCAGGCCACGCCCACACCGCCCCACCACGCCCACACCACCCGCCACGTGGGCACTCACCCCAGAGCTGCAGCAGAATTGGGGGGGGCTCCCTGAAGGGAAGAGGCTCTGGGGACCAACCTGGCCAGACCAACCCAAGGCCTCTGCTTCATTAAAGGTGGCCAAGGACTTGGGGCAAGTTTTGCCTAGTAAGAATCAGGAAAAGGTAAACTGAGTACTTTGTTCTGGATTTTAAGAGTTCCCCACTGGTGCTGATAGACCTCACATTTCCTCTTGCTCCCTCATCCCCCTCCATTGCAGGGCTGCAGCCCAGGCTCTGCTTGTGAAAAGTTCTCATTCAACAAAAAACACAAGAGAGACTCACAGACCCCACACAGAGATGCATAAACTCAAGTCATACAAACTGCACACATACACACAGACACAAACACATAGGTACAGAACAAAATCCCACAGAGATGCCTAAACTACATAGAAACACACACGGTCTACACAGACACACGTACACACAGCTCCATAAATTATATACACAAACAAAAATCAAACAGACACAGAGGCACACACAAGGACACAAACTACACACCAACCAATAAACACATGAGTGTGAACACAACCTCGAAACTAACAGACACACACGGAGAAGAGACAGGAACTGGCAGATCCGCTGGGACACCTGGCTCTGCCCATCACCTAACAGCAGGACCAGCGGAGGCCCCGGGGCTGACAGGTGCTTGGAAGGCACAGACCTTAAGACAAAGCATACTACACAGTGACAGGTTACAGCCAGGGACTGCCCGGGAGCAGGGGTGGGCATCCACCACACCACGGCCCCCAGCACTGGTCTCCAGCCCTGGGCCCAAGCACAGGACAGCCCTAAGTCTGTGACACCACATCACTGTTGAGTCTGGAAGTTCCTGGCTGCAGACAGTAGACACAGATCTTAGGCACCATGCAGAGCACCCGGGCTCGTGGGACAGGGGACCCAGGGAGCCCATGAGCACCACCGCACCAGACCCCACCCCAAAATGCCAGTTCATTCCCTCCATCACTAACCTGAGGGTTTGCCTCCCACACCTCCAGAGAGCCTGTCACAAGGCAGAAAGGGACGTGGTGTGTGAACATGGAGACACCCGAGTGATGGAGAGTCTCAGGCTGTCACCACCCTCACACCAGCCGTGCAGCAGAGGAAAGGTCCTGCCAAAAGAGGGCTGTCATAGCACAGATGTGGAAGAGGAGGCTCCCATGCCTTGCAGGTAAATATTCCTGGTATACCTGCCAAATATCTGAAGGAGGGTCAGCCCTAAGCCAAGCTCCAGGAGTGCACACTGCGTGGCCTGTTACAGAGGGACTCCCCTTTCCCAAGCCTCTAGAGGCAGCTGTGGGGACCACAGAGCCCCCACAAAGCAAGCGAGTGTTCGAGACCAGGCACCCAGTCAGGCGGGATGTGGGTGCATCACTGTGGACCCCTCCTCTTCTGCTCCCAGAGGGAGACTGTGACCCTCACCAGGCCCCAGGTGCCTCTCCCTCTGACCCCCGCCACCTGTGCCCAGCTGTCCTCTGACAGCTCGCTCCTGCCCTCCCGTAGCAGCCTTGTGACAGAGACCCTAGCACAGACGTCACTGTGAGGCCTTTCCCACAGCAGGGCTACTAATCAGGCTGTTAATGCCAACACAGGAGCTCCACCAAGAACGAGGACTACAAAGGATCACAAGACCCCAGGCCACACTCATGTGCTGCGGGGCGCTGTGGGTTAACCCTCCTGGAGGAACTGCCTCCGTGCAGGGAATCTGTGACGGGACAGGAGCCTGGAGGGTGAGGACTGCCCGGGCGGGCGCAGGTGCCTGGGGCCTCAGAGCCCATCTGCTCCACTGACTTAATTCAGAGCAATCCAAGGGGATTTCACGATGAACTTGACATTTCAAAGAGAAGGCTTGTCTCAGGCTTCCCGCCCCAAGATGAAAGGGCTTTCAAGCCAACACAGCTTAGGAGCGTGAACTTAGGAGGCTCTCTCTGGTGTCCCGATGGCAGTCGGAACCCAGGATGAGCCATAGAGCGGGGTGGCGGGTGAGCAGCACTCCGCTGATGAAAGGGAAACTGCGGGCCCTTCGGTCTGAGGGTGAGCACGCTGCGCCAGGCTACTTCAAGCCCTCGCTCGCTCAGCCCCCTGGGCAGCGCGGCAGTTGTAGAGGCTGCGATGGTGCCCAGAAACAAGGTCACCCTCCACTCCCAGCCCCCTGCCCACCCCAGGACTGGGCAGCTGGCTGCATGGGCCAGGGCCCAGGGCTGGACTCGGGAGGCGGCCTTCATCTCACTCACAGAGCACGGGGCGTGTACCTGGGCTCAGAGGGGAACAAACACGATGCATCAAGCTCCGTATAAGTGCGAAGTGCTGGTGGACGCTCCACACAGTTGGAGCCTTCGTTGGAAGGACGACTTCCACCCCGCCGCGGGTCTGCCCTCCCTGGAGCTCCCTTGTTCTGCTGCCCTGATTTTGACCCGTGTGAGTGAAATCCAGGCTTCACGCGGAGGAGGAGAGTGAGAGCTTAACTGAACACGGAACTGTCCTGTCCTCTTGGCAAAAGCAAAGCTGCTCCTCTTTTTAGTGCAGTGATGTAAGAGGTAAACAGTTTTCCAGTGTTCTCCGCTGAAGGAAAGGTTAAGAAATTGAGAGCCCGCCTCGGGCCACCCCGCCAGCCTCTGGAGAAGACGGAGACACAACCTGCACGGCCTCCACCACAGCAGTGGCCTATCTCTGGACTGGCATTTTCAGTCTCAGGACCCTTTTATACTCTGAAACTCTGAGGTACTCGTGTTTCTATGAGATAGAACACATCAAACAAGTACAACCTGCGCCAGAAACTAAAACTATTTTGTTTTGTTTTGTTTTTGGTACCGGGGATCAAACTCGGGTCCTTGCACTTGCAAGGCAGGTGGCAGAACCTTTGAGCTAAATCCCCAGCCTAAAACTATTGAAGTAATACATTTTAAAATAAAAGCCTACTTCTTGTTAACATTATTATTTTCAATTATTATTACATTTCTTGTTTCATCTTGGTAGTGGGGACTGAACCTATGGGGCTCACACAGGCTCGGCAAACTCTACCACTGAGCTATGTCCGCAGCCCTGTTCTATTTTTTTGAGACAGAGTCAGTGTTGCTAAATTGCCCATGCAGGGCTTGAACTTGGGGACTTGTGACCCTCCTACCTCAGCCACGTTGGGATTACAGGCGTCACCACCACAGCCAGCTGTTTTTGTGACAGGGTCTGGCTAAGATGCCCAGGCTGGCTCACACCTGCAGTACCTCCCACCTCAGCCTCCTGAGTTGTGGCAATGACCATCGTGTGCTACCATGTCTAGCTGAGAAATTACTGTTCAAAACAAAAAGTGCAGTGAGAAGATGACATTAGCTTTTAAATTAGCCTCTCTCTGGCTTAGCAGAAGACAAGTAGATATTTAGTTCTGCTCCCGCAGTCCACAGTGACAACTATCGCTGTATCAGACGGGTTCGCTTTTGGTTCCAGGGTATGCACCAGTGCTCTTGTAACTCGTTAGAAAGCTCAGCCTACGCTTTTGTGACAGATGGTTTATTTATAGAGAATTAAAATCTCGGCATATACATGGCACAGACATTACATATAATACACTTTCCATGACAGGCAGCACACCTGTGAAGAAGGGAAGCCAAACAGCCTTTGCAGTTCTGGTTTAAATCATCTCTGGATGCATTTAATTAACAGCGGCATTTAATGTCCAAAAGCTTTTAATAAACAAAGTCAGAGTAAAATTAGATGAAATATGTATAATACGATTTGTTACATAGTATTTTCAATATACAATCAAGATGACGCACAACACTTGAAAGAAAAAAAAAAGAGGGAAAAATCTATTGCACCCACAAGTAAAAAGACTTCATTCATTTCTGGGCCACTGCAATTCAGTATTTATATAAACATTTACACACTTTAGTAAACACAGTCTTACATGTAATGCAGCATTATGGGGTGAAAAGACCCTTTAAAGTCTCAAAAATAAACATCAAGCGTCCACATAATGTCCCATGTGCATAGGCGGATTTCCCATCATTACTCCACTCATTACTCGGGTCGTGGGCGCTGTCTCCTCCTCCCTCCCTCCAAGGACCAATACCGCTCATCGGCTGTGCCAGACAGGAGCGATCTGAACAGCAGCAAGCCACTATTCGCTTGGTCTCGTGTGCTTCCATCTCAGTGCCCTGTTAAATAATCCTGTGTAGAATCTGAAGCAAATGAGTCCACATCCTCGTTATCCGAGTCATCGCTGCTGTCATCAGCAGCTGGCTCTCCCGTGAGGGCTATGCGAGCATAGTCATCTGTGTCTATGGACTTGCAGAAGTGGATGGCATATTTC